GCCGATCCATTCGTGCTACAACCATAGGGTATGTTCCGAAATACAATCCAGTACACTGGCAAATGCAAATGACGTCATCAATTGACACTGTATTGTACCGGCGTGCCGCCGCCATATTGCGTCGGATATCCGGCCACAATAAAACAATTTTTAATTGTGTGTGCGCTGAACGAAGCATGCCAGAATTTGTTTTTATTTATTCAAATACAAAAAATTATAGAATAATTGCTGGTATCTCCATTAGGAAGATATAATGATTTTTGGAGCACAAAATGACAAAATAATCGCCAACACTTTTCCAATATAGCGTAAATGTATGACGTCATATACTGTCCTATGTTTTGGAACGAATCACCAGTATAGCGCCGATTCATGACGTCATTTGCATTGGACAGTACACTGGGTTCTATTTTGGAACATACCCATAATATAGATGTAGCGTGGCTCTACCACGTACAAAAAGTTACTATAGAAGAAACAGTCTAAACAGTTAAAGCCGAGTCACAAAATAAGAAGACTTACTTACTTACTTATCTTCACGCACAATCCCTAACGAGGTAGCCAAAGAGAACAGATCGCCAAGTGTCACTATCCTTACATACCTCTTTCTCTTCTTTCATGTTCATTAACTTCTTCACACATGCACGTCTAGGTATCCGAGTACTGTTGACCTTCCCCTCTTCGAGAAATTTGCTCACATGGTCTTCGAAAGTTAGTCTCAGTCTACCTCTTGCTTGGAAAGTTTGGCGATAAAAGGGTTAATGATGCTGGCAAGCTTATACTGGCTGTATGCAAGTAAAAGGGTCTTCTTGTGACAAACACTATGTTTAATCACAGGAAAATCCATATGTACACCAGAGAAAGAAAGAATGAGAGAAGTATGATTGATTTGTTCCTGGTGGATGACCGACTGCGAAAACAGGTGATGGATACACAAGTGTTTAGGGGTGCTGACCTGGGAACGGATCACTATCTAGTAATTACTAGATTTAGGGGTTTGTTCGCGGGTTGGCGCTGCCGGACGGCAGTAACAGAACCACAGTCGGTCTGTCGCATCCGAAGCTGGAAGCTTCAGGAAGCGGATACTAAGGACAAATATCACACGAGGTAGCCGAAAAGCTTAACACCATTGATGGCAGGAAAGAATGTGTGGAGAGAACATGGCAGAACCTTAGGGATGGAATGGTAAGTGCAGCGGAAGAAGTATGTGGAACGACAAAAATAGGTAGTAGTAAAAGAAGAGATGCATGGTGGAATGATGAAGTGAGAGAAGCTGTAAAAAAGAAGAAAAAAGCATGGTTAGACTACTTGGCCTCTAGTAACAATAAGCGTATGAGAGAGAAGATGAAAGAAAGATATAAGCTGCAGAAAGTTCATGCGAAAACACTGATTGAGGAAGTACGTGAAAGGTGTAGAATAGAAGCGGACGAAAAGTTGTCGCACAACTTTAAGGAAAACTCCAAACTCTTCTGGAAAGAGGTTGAAAGGTCCCGGAGTGGTGCGACAGCCTTAAGAATGAACAAAGTGCTTTCGAGAACCAATGACGTCCTCTTAGAAAAATCGGACGTCATGCAGCGATGGAGTGAATTTTATAGAGAAATGTATGCGTGTCATGAGCTTAGTTAAGGATCCGGGGGTGACGCCGTGACTGGCACGCCAGACACGGACCTCGATGACACTGAAGTCATCAGCATGAAAGAGATTGAACGTGCGATTCAAAATTTGAAATGTGGTAAGGCTGCGGGACTAGACAGTTACTGCTGAAATGGTCAAGTACGGTGGGCCTCGCGTCTGGGACAGCTTTCATCTGCTGTGCAATTTGTGCTGGCGGACGGGAGGTGTCTCGGATGATTGGCGATCCGCGGTCATTGTGCCTTTACATAAAGGTAAATGTTCACATTTTGACTACTTCTACTGGTGCTACTGCGGGTGCTATCGGGCAGTCAGCTTGACCAGTTTAAAAGTAACTTTTACTCGAAGGTTTTGACACGTAGGATGCAAGAGAAATCGGAAAGATTTTTATGGGAGGCACAATACGGATTTAGACCTGGAAGAGAATGCACGGATCAAATGTTTTCTCTCCGCATGATCACGGAGAAGCTTCTGAGTGTTAACCAGAAGACTTTATGTGCTTTTGTGGATCTGGAGAAAGCATTTGATAAGGTTATAAGGAAGAAAATGTGGGAACTGTTGCCGGAATATGGTGTGGATGGTCAATTGTTAAGGGCTGTGCAGTCACTTTACTACGACTGTAAAGCCTGTGTGCGGGTAGGGCATGACCTGTCACCCATGTTTAGCGTCCAAGCGGGCGTAAAACAGGGTTGTGTCATGTCTTCCTGGCCGCTCATATTGTATCTCAACAGCTATTTACAAAAGCTGAAAAATAGCTGTTTGGGTATGAAATTGGGTGACATTAAAGTAAATTGTCTGCTGTATGCTGATGATGCAGTGCTTATTGCACCATCAGAAGCAGAACTGCAGGCATTAGTCACGTGTTTCAAAAACGGGGAATGTGAAATTAAAGGTCTCCGTTTGAATGCTAATAAAACTAAGGTTCTGGTATTTGAAAAGGACGAAGAGACAACGAAATGTGAAATATGGGTAAATCAGGAATGTCTAGAACAGGTACATGAAATTGTATACTTGGGGAGTACTTTCAGCCGGGATGGAAGATGTGATTTAGATGTGGACAGGCGTGTCGCTGGCGGGAACAAAGTCAATGGTGCCCTGAATGCGTTAGTCAAAAGGCAAGGCGTAGTGAAGAGTGCACACCATGCAATACACAATTTTTTATATTTTCTGGGATTTTGTTGTAAAAGCGTATACATCGTCTCAAGAATGAATTACTGATTCTGTGGAGTCGAGTTACTGGAACCGAAATGGCGGGATATTGAAATTATGTAGTGGTGATTTTAGTACGGCCTCTTATATGGGTTTTTTTGCCTAAACAAATTTACTTTGACAAAGTAGAATAAAAAAAACTTGTTTCATACATTAATTAGGAATTTTGAAATAAAAAATTAAATTAAACAAATAATACATTAAAGAAATTAATGTCTCGATTATTAGAATATTTTTACCGATTATTTGAATATTTTGCCGATTATTCGCATAACAATAAATTTTAATCATCCAAACACTACAGTAATATACATAGCGACATATCATTGAAACGACGTCAAGTAAAAAAGTTAATACTGGTAATTTTTAAATATTTTGCTTTGTTTGAAAAACTCAAATTTAAATTAGTGACAAAAAACTATACACGTTGTAATGAAATATCTTAACTTCATAATTCTTCGGATTTACGTAAAAGGTTATTTTAAATCGTGTGAGTACGCTTGTGCAAAGTTATTGCGGAATGATTAATGTGAAACGTCAAAAGGTATTTCTTAGATTTGGTTGTGACTATAAGCATCTTGTTTTCATTAAACTCGTAGGAGTCCACTGCTGGATATATGCTTCTTCCATTGTCCACTTTCCTTAATCGTCTTGCAGCTTCGTCGCAGCTCCCCGTCATTGGTTTCGAGTATAGTCTCGCATCTATGGATGCTGCTGCCCGTCGTTACGTCTGGCCTCAACCAGAACGATAACGCCATCTATCGGAATTCATAAGAAGTCAGTCGCTTCTTTTGGTTTGGTTTTTAAATAAAGTTGAAGCGACCAACGAACTTACAGTCCACTTGACGGTTGTGGCCGTAGAAGGAAAAGGGGAGATCTCCCGCCGGGCAAGGTGTTCTGCCCGGGGAGCGGCCAGCACTCCGAGTGATAGTTCGGAGAAGTTCTATATATACTGTTTATGATTCGGAATGTTGATAGCGCGATTTAGGTTTCGGTGTGTTTTCGCTTGTGGCGCGACGACAGCGCCGCTACATCACCCCCCTGCTCAGACCGGAGGTCGATAGTGCAGTCTCGTTGTCGACGAATGTGCAAGTGCCAGGAGAGTGCCCTGTAGTCTGCGGTGAGTCGAGAAGAAGGCAAGTAATCTGCGAGAGTGCCGTGAAGCAGAGGCGAGCAGTAAGGCTCAGAGCCTTGCTGAACACTGTAGTAGCGCAGAGTGTAGCTTGAAGGAACAGGAAGCATTATTATTCCAGTGCTGCGATGAATCTTGTGAAGCTAGATGGCTTGCAGGATATGAAGACTGCAGACGATATCTACTCGGGAGCGAATGCGTGGGGTACTCTATGACGATGATGAAGCTTGAAGTTTCCGAAGATTGTTGGTTGCGTGTTCCGATCACGTCGGGGTCACCACTGTGGCCGTAGAAGGAAAAGGGGAGATCTCCCGCCGGGCAAGGTGTTCTGCCCGGGGAGCGGCCAGCACTCCGAGTGATAGTTCGGAGAAGTTCTATATATACTGTTTATGATTCGGAATGTTGATAGCGCGATTTAGGCTTCGGTGTGTTTTCGCTTGTGGCGCGACGACAGCGCCGCTACACGGTAATTGGCTACTGCAGCCCATTAACACCTGCGGCCAACTTCAAACATAGAAGGTTACAGACACGCTATCATTTCTGAGAATTAAGATGGAATGCTTTACGCCCTGTAATTAATTATACAGGTACTGCTATTTGGCGACAAATAGTTAAGAAAATGTTACCTATCTAGAAGAACTGGACAGAAAAGGAGTTTTACCACTCTCGTACTACCCTCTTATTTCCCTCAAGCAGCAGAGCATCAACTGCTGTTTCCGGTTCGAAGAGTACCATAACCAGTATTTAAATAGAGTGAAGAATATCATATTAGTACTCAAGGATTTGAAGTCTGTTACACTGTTGCAGACATCCATTAGAAGCAGATGCCGCCCATACACTTATGTAGACTATCAGCCCATTTGTCCATTCAAAATATTTTTAAATAGTGCAATAATTCAAATGTATTATTTCTTTTTTATCTCTTCAAAGTACACTCTTCGTTCCAATAAAAATCTCAATATTTCAAGATTCTATCTCACTGCAAAGAAGATATATCAAATCTCCTCTGCCCGAAGTTCAGCTTTTGTCAACTGCTATGGTCCCCCGCGGCGGCTAAAGCCTCTCTATTCTCATAAGCCCAGAATCCATGCAGCTCTAGCAATATAGACACCGCAGTATGGCCGTGACCGCTTCGTATCAAATCCTGTAGAGTTATTCTAGAAGGGTGTTCAGGTCGTATCATGTCAAAGATTTCGTCTTTCACATCGTCGAAATTGACCGGTTCTGCGCCGTGAGCCACCATTTGCTCTTGTATCGCCTGGAATAAAAATTAAATAAATTATTAGGACTATTAAAAAAAAATATAAATGGCATCACATCCGCATTGAAGTCTGATGTGTAATTTATCTGGTCCCGAGTTCGAAACTAGTCCACATTGACTAAGGGTAGAACTCCCTCTTTGTCTTGGAGTCCGTGCAACTAACTCCGTCTGACTAAGTTCAGCAGTGCAGTGCCCACTGTTCCGGTTTGGAGGGTAAGATAGTAAAATTACATTTTTCGAAATTTAAATGACTTTAATTTATATTTAGGATAGAGTAATGTCAGTTTTATTGAAAATTTACTTGTTTATCGGAACAAAAGCTCACATTTCAACGCCTTATTCGGCAGGCTCGAGGGCTAATCAAAAGCACCACTTTTTAATATTGTCTTTGTTGAGTCCCTCGCCTCACTTTATTTGCCGCCATCATTTGGGTTTGACATGCAGCCACATGCAGGTGGGATTGACATTGAGAGCAAATCTCGATATATATCAATTCCTTTACTCTTTTCTCTCCCCCTCTTACTTCTCTCTCTCTCTCTCTCTCTATGTCAACTAACCTTAAAGAAATAATTCAAAGTGAATGCATCGAGGTATCCTTGCGAGTTTATATCAAGCACTCTAAACAGGTAAGCAAGTGCGGCCGGCTGCTTTCTGTTCTCCAATGCCAGCACGAGATCTAAATACGTTTTGTAGTCCATTTCACCGTCGTATGTTAGACATTGTTGGAATACTCGTTGAAGGAAAGCGCGGGTTAGTGTACCCGAGCCATAACTGAAATAAGAATAACATTTTATGGGCACACTACATACACTATTCTATGAACTAAGAATTTAATTCACAGGCACGTTTTTGACTATACATATATACTCTATATTGATAAACTTCAGCTTTAAAAAGCCGTAAAAGTAACTGATTCTTTTTAGCACAACAGAAATTGCGTGAATTTTATTTTAATTCGCGAGAGGTCTTTTTTAAGAAATCAAGTTGGCGTATTTATGGTTAGTACCTAGATGACCGAGCTTTCCTCGGTATTTTTTTTTGGATATCGTGTGTTTTGGAAATTATATTTAGATACAAATTACATACTGATGAAACATCATCATCATCATTACAGCCCTTCACAAGTCCACTGCTGAACATAGGCCTCCCCCAAGTAATGCCACAAAGCACGGTGCTGAGCCACCCGCATCCATCGACTTCCTGCATGTCTTACCAGGTCGTCACTCCATCTAGTGGGGGGTTGCCCTACACTACGCCTACCGGTACGAGGCTGCCACTCGAGAACCTTTCTTCCCCATCGGTTATCGGTTCTTCGAGCTATATGGCCGGCCCATTGCCACTTCAGCTTACTAATCCGTTGGGCTATGTCAGTCACTCTGGTTTTACTGCGGATATCCTCATTTCTGAGTCTATCACGCAGAGAAACTCCGAGCATAGCGCTCTCCACAGCTCGCTGAGCGACCTTGAGCGTCCTCATACGGCCAGCAGTGAAGGACCACGTCTCAGATCCGTAAGTCATCACTTGCAACACGCACTGGTTATACACTTTAGTTTTCAGAGATTGAGGTATACCTGACGACAAGATGTGTCGTAATTTCCCGAACGCTGCCCAGCCGAGCTGAATCCGTCGATTGACCTCTCGGTCGAAGTCTACCGTCGCTTCTAACTATCCTAAAACCTACCGTTTCATTTCACTAAGCTTCTACACCATTTGACAATCTTAGGTCTCCCATAAGACATATCTCAAAATCCTAATACCGTATCCTTTCCAGTCCAGTAGCTTGAAAACGTCTTCCAACGCAGGGGTGAAGAGTTTCGGGGATACAACATCACCCTGTCTTACACCTCTCTGCAGTTGGATAGGTTTCGTACTCTGGTTCTGTACTCGGATAGCCATCATAACCCTACTGTACAAACACTTCAGCACTTCGATATACCGACAGTCAACTTGGCACCGCTGAAGGGACTGTAGCACCGCCCAAATTTCGACGGAATCAAAGGCTTTTTCGAACGACATTTTCGAAAATCCTAGCTAGATCGATTTATTGCCCTCGAAACCCCCTGGACACAAAATTTTATGAAAATCGTTGGAGCCGTTTCCGAGATTCCGATTTTATATATATATATATATATATATATATATATATATATATATATATATATATGAATTGCTCGTTTAAAGGCATAGGATTTTCCAAGGGTGGGGCTGCGGGGCTGGTCTCTGAAGAGCGATGGCCTTAGCCAAAACCCAATTTTTGCAATCAAAGTAATTTCAATTTGAAGTGATGAGACATATTTCCGCCATTCAAACAATAAACGAAAAACAAGTTTTTAATCACTACAGCGTTATTAATCAATTGAATCAACTTTTTATTCATTATAATTTTGGCTAATCCAACATACTTAGGTGTCCACTGCCCACCCGACCCCACCTCTATATACGACAAGGTTAAGATTTAACTAAGCTGAGTAAAATCTTAACATAATATATAATTCTTCTGCACCTGTTTGTCACTGAACTCCTCCCTAAACTGCTAGCCGGATTTTGATGAAATTTTTTGTGTGTTTGAGTGAGTGGTTTAGATTCACGATTGTTGAATCGGGTAGGTGGCTCGGTGGTCGAAATTCAGAAATTACCCATGCGAAGCTGGGGCTGATTGCTAGTGTAATATAAAATTATACTAAAATGTGAAATCTACTAGTCACAATAGAGCTGCATATTGTTCATAAATTTCTACATCCATTCTTGTTCTGTAAATTATCCAAAGATTATTAATATTATTTTTGTACTAAATAATGGTTAAGATTACCCAGCAAGTTCATTTATACTCAGCATGCCATTATGATCTCTATCTAGGTTCAGATACTGTCCATAAACACGTAACGCAGAGGCAGCACTAAACCAATTCTGCTCTTGGAGTTCCATTGGAAGATCTTCTTCACGAAGCTGAAAATTTTAAAAGATATGTATTCTATACATAATTCATAATATTTATACTTATATATTTACTGACTATATTATACTTATATGGCATAACACTTTTTTTTATAAAATTGATTATTTTAATTGGTAAAAAGACAAAAAGTTGTCTTTTTAAATCCGATAACTTGTGTTAAACTTGACATGTAGTTTATTGTATAATATACATAATAACATATCAATATACGAAAAACTATCTATCGCATCTAACATCCCATTTTTATTCATGTTTTTTTTATTATAAACTAGCATACAGTTCAGTAATGGTAAGGTAATGCTGTAATTCCTATACATGCTTTATCTATCCTCAATTAATCAAAATGTAGATGCGTTGTCACCCTCGCTCACCTGGTTAATGGTAAAAAAAGTCACCGGTTTTCACACTCACCGTATCAAACGCAGCAGCGTTGTTATACATATAATATTATATATCATAATCTACGCTCGTATTCTGAAACAGCGTAATCCTTACTCGGTCGAACCGACCCATTCATGCTATACAACCATAACAAGTTGTCGTAGTTGTCGTTAAATAGTAGCTTAATACTGCTGTGTTTCGTACGGTGAGTGTAGAGAACCGGAGACCCTTTTTACTGAAAACGAGGCATTTCATCTCAGTCCTCACGAGTGACCCATTTTGATTTGTAATCGAGGATAGATGTAGATGTCTATGGGTCGCAGCAACAGGTGGACTGTGTGCTCGTTTCTCATCCTATCCTATAAAAAAGACCTCATGGCCTCCGATTGAAGCCTTATAACCATCTCCTATTTAACATATAACATATTTAAATATCCAGACCAGCGATTGGTTTGGCAACTATTAAATTAACTTCCATTTCAATTAGTAGAGGAGGGCAATAACTGACACACGCGTCACACTTGTGAACAGGTACTGCTTGTGGGGCTGATCTGCTCAGGTTTACAACACATTGAAACAGAAACAGAAACTTTATTATTCAATATAGATTATAAATAATACTTATTGAAAGTCACTTTTTTTTTAATTTACCACTGGTTCGGAAAAAACAGCAGCGGGGCTATTTAAAAAAACAGCTTTCAATCATGTATGTTATAATTATCAATACTAATACATTTATAAAGCTAATAAATTTTTAAATTATATTTGCCATATAACACATATAGATATTTGTTATATAGGTATATTTTGTTGTCCTTTAATTTGATTAAAAACATGCTTTTAAGCCCATGGGTCTATTCCTTTTCATTGACCTATAAAAAAATGACACCAAAAGAGTTTCTTTTGCCATTTCTCCTCTGAATAAGTTATGAGATTTCATTTAATTTCAATTAGCCGGTCAAGATCAATCACAGTCTAGGATTGTGGCAAATTGTCCCTACAAAGGTGAGGCCTACATTTAGGAGTGGCCTGTTACATGTTGCTAAAGAAAAAGTACAAATGTACAGTCACTTATAAATTTCCATCAAAAAGTATCTTACCTCCAATAAGTCATCTAAGAATGAACATGACAGAACATCTCTTATCCTCACACGTCCAACTCTCAGTGGATCAAGGAAGAATAAGAACTTTCTAGCCGCTGTACAGACATAAAAAGAGCTAAATGAGGAATCTAAGCCATCTAAGGCAGCTAACGATGGTACCAGTTCTGCTATGTAGCTTTCCAAATCCTTAAATGAAACAAAAAAAACGTGGTTTTATGAGCAATAGATTATATCCATTATTTATTTATTTTTTAAATATATTTTTACTAATTATTAGAGATAGGCCGAATATTCGGCAAAATCACCGAACATTCGTTAAAGTAGTATTCAAGATGTCCACTGTATTGAAATGTACGAATTGAGTAATGCCATGTCTCATAATTTTACTGTTGAAAGTATATTTTATTTATGAGTTAAATCTACTTGTATAACGTTATATTTTTGAGGCACTGTGGATTTATTTCTAATTATAGATAATAGAAATATTAATAAAATGTTTTTTGAATCAAACAAAAAAAAAACATTAAATTAGTACATTTCACTTTACTTTGGTCGTCAGTTTATCTAAAATAAGTCCAAATAGTAGATCTCATGCCATTCATTTTTATCATGTAATTATCAATTATCACTAATTAACACAACCAAATACTTTTTTTACACACATACATAAAAATAGTCAAAACACTGCTTGTGCTAGCAATTTCGCTCAGTACTAGATGATGCAATAACATTTCAGGTGTGGCGGTGGAGCGACGGACAGGGTTCGGCGCTAATACCGCGCGCTTTACGGTAACAAGTTTCGACATAAATTGGTTAGGTACCGAAGTGATCTTGCCGAATAATGTTCGGTCCAATATTCGGTTCGGTAAAAGTTTTACCGAACTTTCGGCCGAATATTCATATTCGGTGAAATCCATATTCGACCCATCTCTACTAATTATAAGCTATTGTTTGAATACTAATATACCTAGTGATAAGTAGTGATGTAGCTAAAGATAGTAAGACACACAAAAACACACACATAGCTATGTAAAGCACACAAAGCTAGAAACTCGAGTCTGGCAAATTATTGTTTCATATTATAAGGACCATACCAATCAGACTGGTGCCAGTAAGCTGTGTCAAAGGTGTGAAAAGTCTGGTGATATAATCATCAACCCACATGTCAAGTGAAAATTAAGACCCTCTAGTCCAGCTGTAGACTTCTATGGACTAATGAAGTCATCATCATTACAGCCCTTCACAAGTCCACTGCTGAACATAGTTCTGAAGAATTAAGAACAAGTTTTCTCAACTTACGTGTTCTGTGAGATAGCCTTGTCCAGTAACGTCATACAATGATAGACCAATTCTAGTTTGCTGTAGCCATACACGTCGCATAACATAGTTAAAGAGGGATACACCACGAACTTTGCCAACACCACCTTCAGCTGCTTGCAGGCGTCCGAATACTTCAGCTGTGAAATATGGTCTGCGAAATACGCAAATAAAATTTATAGGTATTAGTTTTAGTTTCTGCTTAAGGCCCTTTTGTATCCATGACTAGGCATGAAAACTTTTTTATAACTTCAAGAATTTCCTCACTCCCCGTAATTGTCGATGTTAGAAGAAACAATGTAAGTGCCCTTAGAGGTGACAACGCATCTGTTGCCTTCTTTGTTTGAAGCTGGCTGCAGGTGTCCACGGACTGCAGTACCCATTTTCCATCAGGTGGACTATAAGGTTGTTTGTCACTTTAGTTTTATAAAAAAAAAAACGTTCAATTGGATGTCTCGGCGGACACGGGCCAGGGCGGCCGTGAGCGCTTAGACGGTTCGTTTTTTTTTTTTCAAAATAAAAGTGAATTTGTAAATTGTGTTTTCGTTTCTCGACAGGAACTTAAAATAACCCTTTCATTTAATATCACTTTCATACGGTTTCATATTGGAATATTTGCAATTTAGAATTTAGTAATATTGCCCCAATACCATTCACACTTCTGTTTTCACATAACACTTGTCCGTATGTAATTTTTTTATGAAATGACTTTTTAACTTCCCGCTATGAAAATCAATGACAAAAAAATTGGGAAGTTACATATACACCCCGGTTTTCGAAAATCGAGTTCTCATCAGATCTCCACGTTTGAGATCCTAGGAAGCCGTTCTGACTATTTCTACGAGGATGTCACTGTCTGTATGTGTGTGCGTGAGTGCGTGTGTGTGTCTCCGTCTCTTAAACTTGAAGAACGCCATCGATTGCGGCAAACCGCACCCAAATCGGTCGAAATGGTTTACGAAAATTTTTGAAAAAAATTAATTTTTCAAAGAACTTCGAAATTTTTTCACGGATCGTTTTTGATGTAATAAATTAACTATGAGTACTTAAAAACTGCATCGAACGCCGTCACGTTCGTCAAAATCGGTTGATTTGTTCGTGAAATATTCCATTTGAAAAAAAATTAAATAAAAAAGACGTAGGTTTTTCAAAATTGGCGGAATTCGGGCGCTTTGCATTTGAAATTAGCGGGAAGTTCCAGCGATGGCTTGTTTTTTTTAAATTTTTGATTGTGGCTTAAAAAAGTTAAAAAGTACTGCAAAATCGTCTTAAGACTATTAAAATTGAAATTCTATTTTTATTTTCTTTTACTTTATAGAATAAGTGTGACAAACGAGCACATTGTCCACTTGATGATAAGTGGATACCCTGGCCAATAGACATCAACATTTATCCCGGATTAAGAACCAAAATATAAATGTGTTGTCACCCCTGAAGGGTAAGGTGGAATTCCTCGTATCCAGTTAAAAGAGTCTCCGGTTCTCTACAATCACCATACAAAACACAGCAAAATTAAGCTACTATTTTATGCTGTATTCTGTGAGTGTGGACCTTCTCCGGTCGAGTCGACTTTACAAATATACTATAGCTGCAGCATGACTGTACCACACGGATTTTGTTTTTAGAGCACTTATTGGAAATATTTCATCGACTTGAATTAAGCTTTCCGTTAATTGCAATAATAATTTTTGTTTCATTTCATTTTGTGATGAAAGTACTCTGAACACGGGCCTGGCCCCATCACTAATCTAGATATTTTAAATCTGCCGGGCTAGCATGAGCAGGGGATAAAAATTTTATCCACCGATTATATCCACTGACAAGGGATAAAATTGTCTTATCCCTATGTCAAAGCTTTATCCACTCTGCGAGCATGGGCCTATGGTGGATATAATATCGACAGTAGATAAACTTATCCCCGCGCATAGATAATATACCATAGTATAAAGCTATAAACTATACTAGCTATAAACTAGTTTTAAGAATTAAGTAGATTTACATTAACTTATATTTTCTTTTAACTTTTGTTTATTATTATTGCTAAACTGTTCATAATTTTTGTTAAACAATATGTCATTTACAATATTTGTTATATTTATTTTAAGCGTTGTAAGCCTTGTTATTATTTTTTCTATTATTCTAATTCTTTCTTTATTTTCTTTTGTATAATATTTAAGTTAAATATACATTGCTTGTATCAAATCGTAGGTATTACTTCGCTTGTGACAGCATTTATTAAAAAAATATGTGTTTAGAATTAAGCCAATTGTGAAACTGGATAATACAGACCCTTTGAAGGTGGTGTAACCTATTGAAGAAATTAAAAAAAATATATCCCCGCAATTACTGCCATTATAAGAAAATTACAAAATACATCAAAATTGATGTCTACTCTAAGTCACAAAGATTTAATTTTAATTGAAAATGATGAAGCATGAAGAATAAAAATGTAATGATTTCAAACAAAACAAGGAATAAATAATTTTATAATCATGAGTATAGTATATTTAGCAAGCTTTGCTAAAGAATTAACATATTTCTTAATTTAAACCTTAACTTTACTAAGTTTGATAACTTTATTTTAAAACGTTATAATACTTACCTAAAATATAGTAATTATAGACCGATTCTATTATCATTAAATTTGACTTGACCATGGACTCGCCTTAGGTGTTGTTGACACAACCTATGTAATTAAATCATGGCATTGAGCTATTGAGACTTTTTTGGACAAGGTGGTTGTAATAGATGCTTACTTCAATATGCACTGGTATCCATCCATAGAATTAATAGGCTTTAAAGCCTCATAGAGTTCTTTACACAAATACAAAACATTCTTTAAGCATCCGAAACCGGCGTAGAAATTCGTTGTTGGAGAATTCCAATAGATTAAGTATTCTGATCACGTTTCGATTGCTGATGTAATTCTCTTTCTTGTTTTTCAATTTCTGACACGAAAATGTAGTTGCAATAGGCTCGAGACATCTTTTTTGTATTAAAATGGTTTGAAGATAAACTTAAACACACGTCCGCGAAAGAGGATAAAATTGTCCCTTTCAAATGTCAAAAAGGGATAATTTTTTCTCTTTCCCTTGGCCCCATGCTACGGACGGGGAGATATATGTCCACTCGTTATGTCAAACGGGGATATACTATAGAGATAAGATAATTTTATCTCTTGTCAGTGGATTTAATGGGGGATATAATTTTTGTCTCTTGCCCATGCTCGCAGGGTGGATAAAACTAAGCAAGGGATAAAAATTATATCCTCTCTCCGGGGATATAATCTCTCCGGCTCATGCTAGCCCGGCTGGGATGAATTTAGAGATCCCATGAGCCATGTCAGTTACCCTGGTTTTAAAAAGGATATTACGGATTCTATCACAAAAATATTCTACGGGCTTAGGGCTCTCCATAGCTTGCTGTTTACAACAAAATACTTATAATTACGGGTGTAATGATTTGTTATATAATTTATGCGAACACTACACATTTAAATAATACTAGTTTTTTGTTTTATCGCGTATATTAATATTTTTATATACCCGAAATTTCGAGTACTTTACAGCACCCACAGTCACGGAGGGGATGGGAGACCGAGATGTTCAACGTCCAGATCAGAGCTAAACAAGTATTTTATTATACTTTTAAATATTTAGTAAATAATATATAAAAATAAATAATTTTGAGTTTTAGTATTTATTGAGCGGAACCCTAATTCTTTATCTTAAATAAACTAACCTAAGTTACTCCTTATAACATCATTCAAAATCAGTCCAGCCGTTTCAGAGATTAGCCAGAACAAGCAGACAAATAGATGAATACACACAGCAGAGATAAAAATTTAAAAAATTGTGTTTTTATTATAAGTACCGTATATACAATATGTAACGTAATTAACGCACACCCTCAGACACCCCAATTAGTATATTATGTTATAATCATAATACATACACTGAATTTTTAGTTACACATTTTTATGCACTGATTATTTATCAAATTAGTTATGAATATGATGAAGAATGTTGTGGTCACAGTACAAATCCACGAACGCAAAGACTTTAACGTTCTTGAAATAAAGTTCATTTTTCTTTATTTATATTGAATGACAGAATTAGTAATAATACAAATAAAACTGCACTCTTAAAAGTCTTATTGCCGTAAGTTATGGTCCATTTCAGTTTGTTTTGACTGTACAGATTTAGTGCGACTGTAATTTACGTAGTTTTAATTATTTTTGGGATAAAAAATTAACATATATTAAAAATGATAGGAATCGATTCAGTAAACGATTCTGAACAAAGTACTTTCTCAAAGCGCGTTAATTATGTTACGTGTTGTATAAGTCGTACTGATTTACGCACCAACCTCGGCACATCCCAATGAGGAGGTGGGGGAAATGTATGAAGATATCTCTAGAGCCATGCATCCTTCAAAACCTACTATATGGTGTTAATGGGAGAATTTAACGCAAAACTGCCCTTCGGCAAATTTTAGAGAAGTCCGAGGAGTACAATCTGCCAGTTTGTCTTGTGTATGTGGACTATGAGAAAGCCTTTGATTCCGTCGAAATTTAAGCAGTGCTGGTTTAATACTCAAAGGTGCTGCAGTCCCTTCAGCAGTGCCAAGTTGACTGTCAGTATATCGAAGTGCTGAAGTATTGAACAGTAGGGCTACAATGGCTATCCAAGTACAGAACCAGAGTACGAAACCCATCCAAGTGCAGAGAGGTGTAAGACAGGGTGATGTTATATCCTCGAAACTCTTTACCACTGCATTGCAAAACGTTTTCAAGCTACTGGATTGGAAAGGATATGGTAATAACATCAATGGCAAGTAAATCACTCACATTCAATTTGCCGACTGTATAGTCCTTACGGCAGAATCGCTGGGGGACCTAAGATCTATGCTCAATGACCTCAATAGTGTCTCTCTACGGATAGGTTTTGCTGACGATACAGATTTTATGGCAGAATCTGAGGAGGACCTAAACACTATGTTCAATGACTAATAGTGTCTTCCAATGAAAAGGTCTTAAGATGAACATAGTCATGTGTAATGTTAATGGGCTCTGAAAGAGTTCAAGGCAAAAGTCTTATGTGACCCTAGGAAATGAGTATAGGCTTACCAGGCGATTGGAGATGAGAAAGTCATAAAGTAATTCACCTTTTTCGTTGATGTTAATGCTTCCCCTGGCTGTGTGGTGAGCATTAGCATCACAACTTACCACAAGTTGAGTTGTGATGTCCATGTCACACCTATGCCAGTGGTTGTTGGGCACTTAGCTCAAAGTTTTTGAAAAGTATGTTTACTTGGGACAAGTAGTCCGACTAGGTAAGTCCAATTTCGACCAATAGGTCAATGGACGGATTCAACTCGGCTGGGCAGCGTTCGGGAGATTGTGACACATCTTCTCTTCAGGCATACCTCAAAATCTCAATACTAGATTGTACAACCAGTGCGTATTGCCAGTGACAACCTATGGATCTGAGATGTTGTCCTTCACTGCCTGCCATATGAAGAAGGTCAAGTCGCTACGGAGAGGGCTCTGAGTTTCTCCGCGTGATAAATTTACAAATGCGGATATCTGCAGTAGATCCAGAGTAACCGACAAAGCCCAATGGATTAACAAACTGAAGTAGCAATAGGCCGGCCATATAGCTTGAAGAACTGATAACGGATGGGAAAAAAAAGTTCTTGAGTGGCAACCTCGTATCGGCAGGCGAAGTGTGTGACGACATGGTAAGACATGCAGGGAGTTGATGGATGCAGTTGGTTAAAGACTGTGCTTAGTGGCATTCTTTGGGGGGGGGGGGCCAAAGTGCAGTCAGCAGTGGACTTGTGAAGGGCTGTAATGAATAAATGAATAACAAAATTTAAGTTATCCAGGTTCTACTGTAAAACATCAGATTAACTTACCTATATTTAGGGCCTGCTTCATCTCTAATCTTCTTAAATTGCATATAATCAATTGTTAGTTCATCATTACTTGATGAGCTATAGTTTCCATTTGATTTCTCCAATAAACTCCATAAATGCTTTAGTTCACTATTGTCCAACAGTTCTTTGCTTTTCTTCTGTAAAAACTGGGCTCTCGTCTCTTCCCTTAACTTCTGTGCTAAAACTTCATCTGACCTCGGAAGTTTGAAATAGAATTTAGGTATCCTTTTATAAGATTCCTGATTTCCTTCAAGTTTTGGTTTATAAAGTTGTTTGAATGTTTCAATTTCAATGTTTTCACTTTCCTCCTTAGTTGTTATTGTGTTTGTTTCTGTGAATATAGATAGTGAAATATCCTATGAGTCAACTAACTGAAAGAGTAGTTTTTTTAGTATAAATTCAGAAAAACCTAAAGCTTAAGTGATTAGTGGGAGGCTGCAGGTGTGAATTTGTCATGGACAAATATTATTATAGTCTACAAAAAATTACTATGGTGGCAGAAATGGTAAATTAAAAAAAAGAATCTCAAAGTTATGTTAAGTTAATTAGGAAGAGACTCAGTTAATAAACTTTGATGAAGGAAGACTACTGTTATTAGTGCCTGTCCCAAGGAAGGTTTTTAGGCATGGTTATGAGCCATCTGTTTTCAACAAGGGCCAGTTCCACACCATTAACCAGTAGTAGACCATTTCAATCTTCAAACCTAAATATTAACCTTAGTTGGATTTCTCCACCATTTTTTTTATGTTTGGTAGCCTTGCTGTACTTCTACCAATTATCTAATCACAACTGAAAGCATTATATGTGTCATCTACATCACTAAAAACAGATACTCTGAAACGACAATTGTTCACTTCGTTCCAGACAGCCATTTTACTAAATCACATGTAGGACGAAAATTTATTTTAACCCTTTTAAATCTTTGGTTATATCAATACAATTTTCTAGTAATATTCCATTTGGTTTTTTTTATAGCATTGGGTGACAAACGGGCACACAGTCCACCAGATGGTAGGTGGATGCTGTGGTCCATGCCCATGTGGACCCATATTTATCCTCAACTAAGGATCAAAATGCAAATGCGTAGTCACTCCTGAGGACTAAGATGGAATGTCTCAATTCCAGTAAAAAGGGTCTCTGATTCTCTACACTCATCATACGAAACACAGCAGCATTATGCTGCTATTTTATGCTGGTATTCCGTGAGAGTGTGATCCTGCCCCGGTCGAGCTGACCCATTCGTATTACAACTATAATATAGCTGCTGAAATATATTATTTTCCGACAATTTATCTATAATTTCGGGTACAATTGGGTATAATCTAGTCTACCTTAGGCACATTCATTTTTAAATAAAAATAAACCTAATGGCTATAAAGAAAATAGGAATAAGCTACATGATTACACGGTAGATAAGGAGTATGATGATTTTTTTGCAATGTTTGCAAATAATTGTATCATATCATCAAGATTTGATTAACAATGTCACTTAATTGATTTGTTACTGGTACCAGTCAGCTTAACGTTTGGTACCGATCATCACAGGTTATGTCGATTACTCTGGTTCTACTGCAGACATCCTCATTACAAAGTTGTAGAGAAACTCAGAGCATAGTCCTCTACATTGCTCATTGAGTGGCCCGAGCTTCCTCATACTGCATTACTTATTCACAATTCTTTCCTCATTTAAAATATAATTAAGTATAGAAAAATTTATATTTTATTACTCTAAAAACTTGACTAAAAAAAAGTTCTTTAAGCTAAATAATCTCTTACTGTTAAGAGGATATGAGCTTTTTATGTCTGTAGATATAATATAAATAGAAAGTGTAGTATTTTATATTCTTAAATTTTTAAGTTGTTTTGATACTTAGTACTCCAGGATTAGAGTAATTAGGTTCGAATGAGATGCGAGATATTTATATTGTACCTAATTTCTTAATACTAGTCGTTAACGATACAAAAGTTAAGTTACTAAGAGCTATCCTAAATTTGTCTGTAATTTAATGTTTAATGATACATACCGTCGAGTTTTTTTATGTAATTCCGGAGACGATTTTTTAGCTTAGTATTAAGTACATTCTCAACGGATTTAGTCTTGTTATTATCACATACATCATTATTATTACTTGTATCATCAGTTTTATTTTCTGAATTGATAAGAGACATTCTGATTCATAAAATATAAATTTGTAAAAAATTACAACTGAATAAATATTTGTAAACACAGGCTACACAGGCTACTATAATCGATGTTCGATGACCGTCGATGTTAAAATTTAAAACATCGATTTTTTCACATATCAAACATCGAAACATCGATGTCAATGAACCGACAATCGATTATCGGAAGGTAATATTCAATAGTTGATTTAAGTATTTACCAAGAGAGAAACAGATTGAGACGTACTTCTTATTCAAAATTGCTATCTCTTCAATCAATCGGCAAAAAATATTATACTGTATGACAAATGAACTAGACATTTGTTTCTTTCAATTTTTTAAATTACTGTTTTAAGCTAAGTACATTATTTATTTATTACTTTTATTTTATTAATAATAAACCATGTTTATTTTTAATCCATTTATTTCTAACCTATTTAATACATGTGTAAAAATATTGTTAACGTGTAAATAATGATAAACGATAAAACATCGATGTTTTGAGAAGAATAAACATCGAACATCGATGTTGAGCTATCGATGGATGTCATCATCGATGTTTCTGCAACATCGATCATTCCTATCACAAACAATAATCACAAATTATAATAAGAAGTACCAGAATAAGCATGGAAGTTAGAAAGAAGGAGAACGATCGCAATAGAAAATAGTGCATGGAGGTTAGAGAAAAGGAGAAAGATCGCTGTAGAAAATAGTCTCCCAGAAATATGTATAAAATAAGTGAGGCGCTGCGATCGCTAAGTTGTCTCAATAAAAGTCATTTTCGGTCTATTTTTCCGACCAGATGCTAAACTACTTGCACATCTACGCACAATATTTCACCATTTTTTAATGTTTCTTTTTGTCAAAAATTAAAAAATTACGGAGCACGATTATTTTCTCACCAATGCCGCGAAGAAAATTTGTACATTATTCAACTAACTTCATCTACTTGTACTCATAAACAGCTAACTTCGCAGATATTACTTACTGATGAATTTTCAGGAACACGTGGGCTATGCTTTAGTACGTAGCCATGGAGGTTGGAGAACAGGAGAACGATTGCTACGTGCTAAAGCATAGTCCGCCTGTCCTCGAAAATTTGTAGAATTTACATCCGCGCTGCCGCCGGTAAGTAGCATCTGCAAAGTAATTTTTTAATTTTTGACAAAAAGAAACATTTAAAAGTGGTGAAATATTATAGAAAATAATAATAATAATAATAATGGTCACCCCTGCCGAGGGCTTCCATCTGGTTGGGCTTTTATTTATTTATGTATTTTTGTATTTATTTTATTTTATTGATATTTATGTATATTTATCCTTTCATTTTCGTTTATAATTATATATTTATACATCCCAACCAGATGAGAAAACTATATAGATACCCCACACATAATAATAATAAAACAAAAATAATTTATATTTGTAATAATTTATAATATTTATAAGAGTTAAAATTATTGAGACAACTTAGCGATCGCAGCGCCTCACTTATTTTGTCTATACTTCTGGGACACTATTTTATACAGCGATCGTTCTCCTGTTCTCTAACCTCCATGTACGTAGCGATCTTTTTTCTTCTCTTCGTAGGAGTTTTGGCGGGAACTTGGCCGTAGACGGATTGTTTTGTCGCTTAAATAATGGTTTGAAGTAGATTTTAATTCGTAAAAGTGATGCGATTTTGTGAATTAAGTGTCCGCGCGTGTTACTACTAACTATTAGAGAAAATGACGAAACAAGTGCTTTGATTTCGATATAAACCTCAAGTTATTTTAATCGCTTGAGCGCCGCATGAACTTGAGTGGCTGTCGTCATCAACTGTCCGCTGGGTTGAGCTGTCGTCAAAATCTCCCAAGGGCTTCGCAATGTGACACATCAATATATTGTGAAGAAAAAGAATATAAAAATGAAGATTCCGTAAGAAATGATAGGCTTAGAAGGGCTAGAACCTAGATCCGTAAAGTCAGTTAATAAAAAATCTCCTTCTCTCTAACCTCTATGAGAATAAGACTAATATTTGACTTTGACACAGATATAGTCATTTAAAAGGCCGACGGGACACGAGTGGTTAAGCTTATGGAGTGTAGAAGTAAGGAGTACAGACTGTGTATTAAAAAGTGTCCGTAGAAAGCCGTTAAATAGGAGTGGCGCCACTATAGCTACGGGGTAAATTTTAAAGAACGTGCCGAAAAATATTAGTGACATAGATGACTTTGTCGAGGTTAAGTTTACTAACTAAAATTATTTTAGATTTTAAAGCTACTGAGCAGTTTAGCAGCACACTTCGGACCGTTGACAACTGCTAAGTTCATTTCATCCCAGTAGCTACTCCAGCGCTGTTGTGGAGAGTTTTTGAACTGTTATTTACTGCTTACAGATGACTACTTTTTCATATATTCTACTATGGGAGTTGGTACTCCTTACTTCTACACTCCATAGTCAAGCTCATGAAGGTTAGAGAACAGAAGAATGATCACCGTAGAAAATATTGTTCAGAAATATGGACACCATAAGTGAGGCGCTGTGATCGCTCGAGGTTCGGTCAATAAAAGTCATTATGAGTCTATTTTTCCGATCAGATGCTAAACCACTTGGACATCCACGAACAATAAAATATTTCTCCATTTTTTAATGTTTTTTTTGTCAAAATTACGGAGCATGAAAATTTTCTACGAAAAATGAAATGAAAATTTGTACATTATTCAACTAACTTCACCTACTTTTACTCATAAACAGCTAAATTCGCAGTCACTACTCACCGACGTCAGCGCCGCTATGTATTCTACAATTTTCAAGGACAGGCGGGCTATGCTTTCTAACCTTCATGAGCTGTAAGATACAGACAGTGTTGCCAACTGCTAGCTTTATACAGTTGCTAGACATTTTACAAAATGTTGTTAGATTGCCAGTTATTTTTACCCCAAAAAGTTGCTAGAAGTAGCTAAATGTTGCAGTGGGTAGGTAGATTACAATTAAATATCAATTTCTGCCGATCATTTTTATTTTCATTATTTCCAACAAGAGAATCAAAAATGTCTTGTGTACAGTCACGAGCAATTATATGTAAACAACATACGACTTTATATTATATTATATTTATTTATCACAGGATATTATATTATATTTACAGTCGACTTTTGTGGCTCGGATAGTTTTGTTTCGGAATGCTTAACGTGACAAAGTTCTATGTGGTTTACATAATAATTTCTCGTGAATGTACGTTATTGAATAAAAAAATAAGTTTAAAATTAATCAATCAAAGAAGAAGATGTCGATGGTTGAGGTATTCAGTGTCTTTCCTCATTAATTTCGAATATTTTTCAGCGGTGCCCATATTATGTAGTACATCTTTAGGCAAAGTACGGTTATAGCAGCATTTACCACTTTTCCTGAGGGAGTCTCGAATGCAAAGGATTGATTTCAGAGTTACCAAACTTATTCGGTATCTTTGCTTATTTCGTACTAACTTCATTTGAGAGAATAACCTCTCCACCTCTGCATTAGAATGTGGCAGTGAAAGGCAAGTTAAAGCAAAAGTTCTTATATATTGTATATGTTTTCACCTGATGAATTTCTATTTTTTTTACTTCGACCCAAAATTGAACTATTTCTTGAGAATGTCTCTTATTAAAATGTAGAATTTGCCAATTTTGCATTATTTTGTCTATTGTTTCCGGTGTGAATCCTCAGATTTCAGAAAGCTGGATGATAGTGTTTGACTTGATTGGTATTATTGCCTCTTCTGGACTCAGCAACGCCATTGGTTCTAGCTCCTTGTAGTTGTCTGGAAGTCTTTGTTGCAATTGCTTAAGTAATTGGAGTAAGAAGGCGGAGCAACGTTGTCGCATTGCATTTAAAACTTCTGACTCTAAAATTTGTTGAGCTGTTGCAGTTTCAAACATGCAGGAGAATTTGCTGCGTTTTCTCGGGTTACACTTTCGTTAACCATATTGAAGTTTATTTTCATAACTGGATTTCATTTATTTTAGGGCAACACTGATAAGGGTCTGGCTTTTCTCTGCACATGAAAAGAACAGCAAATAAAAAAATGGGATTTCAATTCAACACTGACCGTAGACTTAAAGTAGTAAATGAGTTTGATACTTTTGTAAAAATTGGTAAAATGAAATATTAAACGTATTTTCCCCTTCGATAGAGTCTGGTAACAACAAAACAAATTTTAAATTCAATTCACGTACCTGTTTTAAACTCTACTTTCTGTTTAGGTTATTTTTCTCTCAAAATGCTTATTTATGTCAAATAGTTTAGCAAAAATTTCCGTAGAACAATATGTACAAAACGCTTTGTTTGAGTCTCCACTTGCCTACTTTAGCCAACCTTTAAATTCGTCCACATTTTCCCACTCCGGTCTGTATTTCTGGCGTACGCTTTTTTCGAAGGTAAATCCGTTTTCAAATAAAATTAAAACAGTTTGCATTAGGGTTATATTGATAAAACACACCATCCCAAGATAGAATACGAGTAGCGCGTACTAGTTTGGTCTCCCAAAGACACATAAAAATTTCACAAAAATAAAGTTGAGCCATTTTTTTCCAAGTCTTTGTGAGGCTAACTGAGAGTAATTGATTTTTATATATTATAGAGATTTCTCTTATATTGTTATATCGCCGCGATTAGTCGTGTATTTATTTGTTTCCTAATAGCCATCTTACTGATTTCCCCACCGACTGAATTCAATGTGTCTTTGCATACACATTGAATTTTTTCGGCCTGTATGTTTATAAAAAGAGATTCAATACGTGGTAGAGCCACGCTGCAGCTATATTAGTATTGTATTCTAGTACTTTAGCACGAATGGGTCGGCTCGAACTGGAAACGACCACGCTCTCACAGAATACCAGCGTAAAACAGCAGCTTAATATTGAGTATAGAGATTCGGAGACCCTTTTTTATTTGAAACGAGGCATTCTATCTTAGTCCTAAGGGGTGGCAATGCATCTGCGTTTTGATTCTTAATCGAGGATAAATGTCGATGTCTATGG